GAGAGAGAGAGAGAGAGAGAGAGAGAGAGAGAGAGAGAGAGAGAGAGGTTCAAACTAAAGAACAGATGCAAGAAAACGAGAATTATTTTCTTGTTAAATGTTTTCAACCAAGAAAGTTCCTGAAGGACAACTGCCCAATACCAGGGGAGTCTGAGAGTTAAAAAAAAAAAAGTTCACAGATCAAGAGCTACTGTGTAGCTGCCAAAAGGGAGGGAAAGAGTTGTACTTGAAATGGTGTTCAGTTGGCATCCAATTTGGATTCCAGTGGTACTAGGAACTATTATAAACAAGCCACTTTTAAAACACCTTCCAAAACAGGATAATCAGTGGATTAATTTGAAATTAAAACAAGTTATAAGCGAGCAAATTAGAGTATGTGGAAAATTTGTTGCTGACTACTATTAAGAATGTCAGAAATTCAAGTTAAGACTGAGAATTCTGCCCCAAATTCTGTAGGCATTTGATTGGGTTGCTCATTGTAACCACACAGTTCAACTTATCCAGAGATACAAGCATTCAGATTTTGTGTAGGTCCCCATTCTTGCTTTATATATTTTTGACTATTTAAACATGTCAGTGAGACATGCTCTGAAAAAAAATCTCTGCAATCTAAAATGATAAAAGGACTGGCCAATCTCCTTCAACCTTGTGCCTCCCTCATCTCAGCCTACACAATAAATAAAGAAGTTGTTGGGAGGGTCCATTGTCAAGATGGCTAGACAAAACAAACATGTATTCATCTCCTGGTAAGTGTGTTTTCTTTACTTGAGAACTTTTTCAACTGCTTGCCAATAACCATCAGAAGAGTGTGCTTATGGGTTCATGGGGATTCGGTCTTTGATATGTGTTTCTTAGGATGAAGATGGAGACTTTAAAACTGCTATAATATTCACTAGAGAGAATGCTTCAGAGGCTAAAAAAAAAAAGGTGCTTGCCACCAAGATTAGTCTACTTAACTAAATCCCTGGGATACACAGTGTTAGCATTCTGTGGGGTGGAACTTAGACAGAATGCTAACACACAGAATAGAGGAAAAAACTGACTTCTGCAAGTTGTCCTTTTAACCTCCCCACAGCACAGATCATGCACAGGCACACAATAAATGTAACAAATAATTTTGAATTGCTTCTATGTTCTTATAATCATCCTGCCACCACAAAGCCCATCCAGAGAAAGGAGTTCCAGTCTCCCAACTTCAGCATCTGCCCTGCATGTCACCCTCTAGAAAGAAAGCTATAGATCTAAGATAGTTATAAAATGATGGAATATAAAGGTCAAAGGCAGATGCTGAATCAAGAGAAGACACTTTTCCCAAGTGGTGATTAACAGAGGCAGCAAGGGCATCCTGACTCTCTCTATAGCTGGGATTAAAACAAAAGGGGTCCATTCACAATCAGAATGATGGATCGTTAAAACATTATCAGCATTTATTAAAACATCCAAAGGTTGTAGATGGTGAGATAAATCAGAGGGTAAGAGCACTGGCTGCTCGTTCAGGGAACCCTGTTTAATTCCCAGCACCATATGGTGACTCTCAACTTCTGTAACTCCAGTTCCGGGTATCCTTCTGGGCATGAGCATCAAAGAGGTACATGGTGCCCAGATACAGATTCAAGAAAATATACTTACACATGGAATAAAATAAATCCATCCAAAGGTATTTAGAAAACTACTAAGAGGTACTCGATCTTATTTTGTTTTGTTGAACTAGCTAAGGGTGGGCGGATGGAGAGAAGACAGACAATTGGAGACAGCACTCCTCTTCCAGATAGGCACATTTCTAGTATCTTCCTAATTATATTGAGTAGACTCTGAATAAAACATTTTTAATACCTTTGACTACTGGGCTTTGCTTTTAGACTTCTGTTTTGCATGGATTCAAGTCGGGGGCAACTTTTACTAGTTCAGTGCATTTTGAATGGGCAGTAGATATAGCAAAGGACATTTAGAAAAAAGGACACACGAACACCCCCATATTTGTTCTTGTTTCCCCAAACATAAAATTAAAACATTTTCTTCTCCATTCAGCCATATCCTCCCATATTTAACCGTTGCCAAGTGAACCCCTTTCACAGGTCTTCAAAAATTAGTTTTCCCCCGCAGGTTGACTGTACAGCACCAATCGATGCTAAAATGCAATCTTGCCTCTGCCACCCTCCTTGCATAAACACATTCATTATCTGTCTTGCATAATTCAGCATGCACCACAAAAATGTCCTAAAATATTTTGGTGAGATCCAATTATTGAAGCCAGTGGCTTCTGAGGTTAACAAACCCTTTCTTCCCCTGCATAATGGATCTGAGGCGGTTGACACTTAAGTCATCAGTAATCAAATTACTCTCTTGGCAACCATTAAGGGAGATAAGTTTTGATGGAAATGTGAGAGTTGGTAGGACAGAGAGGAGAAAGGAAGGCTTCATCCAGCTGGAAACTCATCTAGTTGAAAATCGCCTCTTTTGTGAAGCAAAGTGGGGAAGGCAAGGTTGTGAATAACACACTCAGTGGGACAGATTGTAGTGAGGATAGGTTGGGCTCTGCTTGAAGGAAGAAGAGAGAGGAAGCCTGAAAGGAGGTCTTTAGCTAACTTATTCCAAACTTTTATCTTTCCTGGAATTCTTTTTTTTATTTAAATTATTTTATTTACTTTCATTCCAGTCATTCCCCTCCTCTATCTCCTCTCACACAGTTCCTCATCCCATTCCTCCTCCCCCTTGTCTCTGAGAGGGTGCTTCCCCCTAACCACCACCACCACCACCCTGCTTCAAGGCTTTACAGGATTAGGCACATCTTCTCCCACTGAGGCCAGACCAGGTAGACTTCTGGTACACATGTGCCAGGGGCCTCCAACTAACCCTTATATGCTCCTAATTGGTGGCGGCTCAGTCTCTGGGAGCTCCCTTGGTCTGAGTTAGTTGAGACTGCTGGTCTTCCTATGGGTCCATCTCCCTTTCAGCTTCTTCAATCCTTCCCCTAATTCAACCATAAGGGTCCCCAA